TTCAGCATCATTAGTGTTAAAAGCCAAAATGGAGGCCGCAGTTACACCTAGGCCAAACGTTCACAGTCACATAACCAAAATGTCACACTGTCCTGATTTCCTTGAAATGTTGACTGATCTAAAACAAACTTAAGCTTTCTTCATGTCAGCATGACCTTACAGTTTCCTAGCTAATCAGCTACAAACAAGTAAACTTATGCAATGAAAAGGAATGTTAAGTTTCTAGCAACTAATCACAATACAAAACAATGTACTTATTCATGCTTTATAAACTGAGCTGTAACTGCTGAAAGCCACCCTTCTAACCACTTTTGGTTTTATGTCTTCCGGTTTGGGAACAGTTTGTTTCTCGATCAATAAAATATTCATACAAAGTAAAGCTCTCTGAATTTCTTCCAACATTAGTCATTAGGGAAATGCAAGTTAAAAATCACAATGAGCTATCACAACACACCTATCAGAGCAGCTAAAATAAAAAATAACATCACCACAAAATACTAGCTACGATGCAAAGAAACTGGATGATCACTCATACATTGCTGTTGGGAATGGAAAATGGTACAACCTCTGGAAAACAGTCTGGCAAGTTCTTTAAAAATTGCACATTCAACTACCACGCCACTCAGCAATTGTATCCCTGAGCATTTATCCCAGAGAAACGAAGCCTTATGTTCACACAAAAGCCTCTATACATCATAATTCAAAACCAGAAACAGGCTAGATATCATTCAATGGGTGAATGGTTAAACAAGCTGTTGAACATCCATACCATGGAATACTATTCAGCAATAAAAAATGAAATATTGATATATCCAACAACTTGGATGAATTTCAAGGGAATTATGCTAGGCAAAAGAAAGCCAATTGTAGAAAGTTAGTGATTCCATTTAGGTAACATTCCTGAAATCATGTTATAGAAATGGGGAACATATTAATGACTGCCAAAGGTTGGGGGTGTACAGTGGTAAGAAAATGAGTATGGCTATAAAATGGCAACATGAGTTGTGATATTATAGTTCTGCAAATGGTTACCACTGGGGAAACTAAGTAAAGGGTCTCCTTGTATTATTTCTTACATACAAGTGAATACACATTTATCTCAAAATACAAAGCTTAACTGAAACTGTTCTGATAAAGCTGTGCAATTGGTTCACGCATATTCATCATATATTCTACTCTTACCTATAAGCTTGAAATATTTCTGAATAATAATTTAAAATTTTAGTTTAAATCTTGTGTTTTTGTGAGTCCTGGGGAGTGGAGAGCAAAATGGCAACTAAAATTAATTTTTATCTTTGATTTTTATCTGAAAAATATACCCTTCAAAGATTTAAGGGATGGCTCTAGAATAATGGATTTTCCTCATACATATCTATGGTTGGTTATAGCTACTGAATTTGGGGAAAAAATAAGATCTGAATGAGTTTTAAGAATAGTGAGCAGCTTCCAAACAGTATAATGCCTGTCAGCAAGATTAAAGAATACAGAAAAATATTTTGGTTTATTTTAGAATTATTAATTTTAAGCTCCTGATACTCAAGGAAATTATCTGGGGGACATCAATCTGATAGTTTACATTTTTATTACTGTTCTGCATGTTAGAGAACCTTATTGTTTTTGGTTGCCTCACTTCAAAAATATTTTTCAGATAATTACATAAGACATAAAACAATGTTCAGAGTGAAAATCGATTATTTAAAAATTGTATCAATCATTAAGGTTCAGCAGTTTTAGTTAAATCTTAAAAATACAGTAGGCTTTTTTCAGTGATTTCCTGCCCTTACTCTAAGAGGATTATATATCCTTATGTGGTGTGCACTACTGGTAAATGTAATCTCCTATTGATGTTCATTTTGGCAGCATTACTTTAGGGAGCAGAAGTGATATTAAATGCTACCTCTGAAAGAAAGCTTTTTTAAAGACATCACAGGGTTTAGCCATCTCTTTTCCCAATGCTAAGAGTCTGGGATATCCTAGGTTAAGGTCTCAGGATAAAGAGAACATGTTGCTGAGTCAGAGCCAACCCATAAAAGACATGTATCACAATGAGAAATAAACCTTAGTTTTTGTAAATCACTGAGATTTTGAGATTGTTGTTTCTGTAGCATAATCTAGTGAAAGCTGAGTAAAATTGATTAAAACCTACAAAGGCTCTATTTATTCCCATTTTCTTTCTAATGGAGATGGATAAAGAACAAATCTGTAAGTTTTCCTGAATATTTACACACAATATAGAAACTTTATTTACTCATATGACTTCAACATAACAATGGTTTCAATTTAAATTCTGACTGTAAACCCAATATTATTTATAAGTTATATATATGTGCTATTCTACTAATATACTGTATATATGATAAAACATAAAAATAGAAAACTTAATAATTACTAAAAATGAAATATAGGGCATTTAAAATACATATAAACAGCATAAAAACCCTTTTTGTTCTAGCTTATTTGTAAATGAATGTTTATTTTTTGAGAAAATAATATAATACTTTGGATTCAGCCATTAAGAAATCTGACTCCTGGATTCAGGTTATTTGATTACTTGGTCTAAATGGGTAACATAACTTAAGAAGATAATTTTCAAAGATAGGGAGATTCAAATGGAATAAGCTCATCTTAGGCTGTACTTACTAAATCATGATACTATCAATCAATTTCACTTAACAATTCTAAAAAAAAAAGTAACATTTGCTTTAACCTACACTCCCTATCTATGATCATAACTGTTTATGCAGGAACACATGTTTGCACAAAAGCCGGAAAATTCTCAATTCCTTTTTATGTTTTTTAAGTGTTAATGATTTTTAGTCTAATCTCTCCCTTTTAATACACTCAGAAAATTTGAAAGAACAGTGTATTAACATCCTTCCCTATTTGCTATCCCTACATACATACTTTTTTTTCTTTTGCTGAATCATTTGTAGGTAAATTGTAGACATAATTTCTTTTAATGAAGAGAAGGTAAACTGAGGTTTATAAACTCCAAAAAGTAACAGTATCTAGTTAGAGTTCTATAATATTGTTTTCATTAATTTATTTTTTGGTTACTCTCTGCCTATAATAAATGAAGATTTTTTATTTACTTGAGCAATATAAAGGTTCCTTTGGTTAAAAACCTAAACAATTAAAATGTTAATTAAAAAATACATGGCAAAAATCATGAAGGTGCTACTCAAATGACTGAAGTTTGGGAAACAGCGTTAGTTAAGAACTCAGTCTCTGAAATATAATAGAGCTGCTTGGCTTAAGTCTCTACTCTAAAACAAGTTATATGACATTGAATAGAGCACTGAACCTCCCCAACTGCAGCTTGCTTATCTATAAAATTGAAATGAAAACGTTACTTATGTTATGGAGTTGTTATGAGGACTGAATGATATAATGCCCACAATGAATATAGCACATGTAAACAAGTGGTGGTTATTATTAGTGCTTAATACTACTATTCAAGAAAGAATGTTTTGGCCAGAAATGGGGGTTGTGAGCCAATGAAAACATGGAAAACTAGTCAGATGAATATTAAAAATAGAACATGAAATAATGTTGTGCTACTTTAAAGATTATTCCTGATATTAACATTAATACAAGAAATAAAAATAGCTTGTCACTTCCTACCCACTGTATGCCAGGTACAATGCTAAGTGCTGTATATAATTCTTTCATTTGACCCTTTCTATGACCATACTGGCAAAATATTTCATCCCTGTTTTACAGGTAAGTGACAAAGCTAGGATTTGAACTTCGGTCTGACACCAATTTCATGTGTTTTTTCCCTTTAATTCCCTTCATTCCCCAAAACTTCTGTGGCTGCTTCTCTTCAATCTCCTCTGTTGAGAACTCATGCTCTTAGATTCAAATGCTGAAATCCTAAAGGCTCTATCCTGGAGTGTTTTCTCCATCTGTAGTGCTCTTGGATATTCCAAGTCACCCCTATGGCATTATTTATACTTCTATATGCAGATGACCCCAAATCTATAATTTGCAAGTCAGAATGAAAAATCCTGAATCACAGGTCAGCTTACTAAATGTCTCTGCACAGCCCCACATGAATGTTTCACAGGTTCTTCAAACAATATGTACCAGCAAACAATCTCTTCCAATACTTTAATTACTAAGTGAAACAATTTTAAATAAATGAACAGTTAGTTGCTCATGCAGAAAACAGGGAATCAATTTGATATCCCTTCTCCTTTATTTTCAACATCCAATCATTCAGCAGGTCCTATTGATTTTATTTCCTAAATAGTTCTCAGAACTATTCATCTCTCCATTCCTCTGCTATCACCCAACATCTTACCTGCTCTCACATCAACTTTTTAATGATTCTCCTTAGATCCACTTTTGTTCTCCTTTCTCTCTCCAATCATTCTCTAATTAGCAGTCAGAGTGACCTTTTCAAAATATAAATCTGATTCTGTTACTCCACTGCTTTTTAGGTAGCTATTCAATTGCTCCCTAATTGTTTTAAGAGAGAATTCAATGTACAGTATGGTTAATATGATTAATAGAGGTATACTGAGGACTTAAGTTCAAATCCTGGCTTACCATGCTGTGACCATCCTCACAAATCTTCAGTTTTTTCATCAGAAAAATGGAGAGACCACCTCTTTAAACAGCTGTTATGGGGATTAGACGAGAAGGTTCTGAGCCTTCCAAACAATGACACTGTTCCATTCATAAGAACAGTGATCCTTCTAACAATGTGACTTCATGCCATCAGGTCCCTGAATTTTTCAAAATGCCATTCAAACGCCTTATAAGCCAGTGGTCACTAAAGCAGTCACCAGATTTTCCTGAAATGATTTATGTTGCTACTGCTGTTGTGTTTATTCTCATGAACTTATCTTCATTTTATTTTGGAAAAAGCCACCTAAGGATGAAGACTATATTTACTTCTAAATATAACATTTAAACTCCCTATATAGCTTTTAGTATGTAGACATATAACAATAATTACAACTTTGTAAACAATTGGCTAAAGAGGCAAGTACCTGCATAGCGATAGATCCTTGGGACATTTGAGAGCTGTAATTCATTCCTATCAAGCCTTGCATATTAGGCTGCATGACAGAGACCATAGGAAATCCCTGTTGCTGCATCGGCACCAGGCCTGCTGAAAAACATAAAGGTATCATTAAAGTTGATGCATTTCAAAGTTCATTTTCCTAAAACCATAAGTACCTATGGACTTGATATGTAGGAGGCAGCACAGTAGAGTGGAAAAAAGCAGATTCTGGAGATAGACTTGAGAATGAATTCCAACTCCATCATTTACTAAGTTATGTGATCTTGGGCAACTTACAAAACTTTACCTGCAAAATGAAAAAATAATACCCATTCTACAGAATTTTTGTACACACTTAAAAAATTAGCGGTATGGCCTAATTGTGATATTTGGTCTTCAAGAGGCAATCTCCGCCTCTTGGTATTCATACCCTTATCATTCCCTCTCACACTAAACAAGACTGACCAGTATAACCAATAGGGTATTGTGGAAATGACAGTGTGTAACTCCCAAGGCTAGTTCTTAAAAACCACTGCAGCTTCCTCCTTGCTCTCTTGGATCTCTTGATCTGGGGAAAGCCACTGCCACATCAAGAGACTACTCAAGCAGTCCCATGGAGACCCCATGTGGTAAGGAACTGAAACCACTGGCCAAAAACCAGCACAAATTTGTCATGTATGGGAATGAACCACCCTGGAAGCAGATCTTCCAGCTTCATCAAAACTTTAGATGATGACACTCCTGGCTGGCACCTTTACTGTAATCTCTTTGGTCCCAAGCCAAAAGCACCCAGTGAAGCCATTCCCAGATACCTGACCGACAGATACAGTGTGAAATGATGTTTATTTTTATAAGTTTTGGGGCAATTTTTAATGTAGTAGAAGATAACTAATACAATAGTGGTTAAGAGCATGAACTCTGGATGCCAACTAGAAATGTCACATACTAGCTTTGGGACCATGAGCAATTTAACTTCTGTGCCTCAGCTTCTCATCCATAAAACTGTTTAATACCTAATATAATCAAATAAATGATATTCCTCTTCTTTTTCTATACATAAATAGTTCATTCATGTTAACCACAAAATAGTCATCTGCATGCAAAGCATATCATACAACGGCAGGAAAATTAACATGAAAGTATGATTTAGAGCATACTATCTCCCAAACTTTTTTAATGAAGTGTTCTCAAGAGCAGAGGATAATGAATATAGATCCCTTTAGTGATTTAATAAATACTACACGCCTACTGTATTTTAGGCACAGTTCTAGATACATGATATAAAGCAGTGAATAAAACAAAATTCCTACATAGCCCAAACATAAATTTCAACCTAATTTTGAATTTTAGCACATATTACATCCATATTGGCTCCACTATCAAAATTTTGCTTAAAAATTAAAGGTCTGATAAAGTACACCATGTTTATCTTGCGGGTTCTGTGTACTTCAAGGTTATTTATTCAAAATTTAATTTCAGAATCATGGACATCCACATCTGTAGGTAACATTTATTAGTAGCAAACTGATCATTTATGCATTCAATCATTTATTCAAATATTTGAAGATCTACTCCATGTCAGGCATCATTCTAGGGACATAGCAGTAAACAAACCAGGTCTTTGCCCTCATGGGACTTACAGCATAATTAGGGGAGATAGATAATAAAAGATTTCAACAATAGGATAGCATTTAAGCAAGGACTTGAAGAAAGTAAGGGAGTGAGCCATAGAGGTATCTGGGAAGAGTATTCCAGACAAAGTAATACCAACGCAAAGGCCCTGAGGTGTCATGAATTAGAATGCAGATTGGATATAACCATAGTAAGATGTCTTCTCTCTCATTCCTTTGTACCTAAAGTTTTATTTAATTTAATTAACTTTTAAATTCTTGACTGAGTAACTCAATTATTTGGTACAACATTTAGAAGCACAAACTTATACACAGTGAAAAGTCTTGTCTCTTTCCTGTCTCCTGTTCGCCCACTCAGGAACTTGTGGGCACTTCTGCCGTCAGTTTCTTTCATATATTTTCAGAAATAATCCTGTATATTTAAAGCCTTCAAATCATCAAAAAGTCCACTCTAACATAATCTGTAAAAAGAAAATACCTCAAAAACAAGTCCAAATTCCAAAAGAAAAAAATATCAGGCAAGCTTTTGGGCTCTCTTCTTGTTCTATCCCTTTGCTCCACATGTAGATTTTTACTTGAAAATTTATAAAAATGCAAAATACTGAGCATGATAATGAACACATGACTCTGTAATGCCTTCCTAAAGAACAAAAGATCTCAAACCATTTGATCTAAATCGTAGACACATCTAATTACAGATAGCTTAAATAATGTATAAAAGTAAACACAATGAAAAGAAATACAACTGTCCCTTGGAAAAATTTATCTGACACTCAACCTCCAACACTGATTATAAATGGAGACAAAGTCACTATGAGCCACTGACCATCTGCTACTGAGCCGCTCTATCATTCATCTCTATTAGTGACCTAGGAAACTGTTTCTCTAGCAAGTCTACCATAACCAATCAACAATGACTTTGCAAGAAGGGCCACTTTTCAGGAGCAGCTTGGCATAAAGAGAGATGGGGTACACTGGAGTGGGAGAAATGAGAAGAGGAGACATATTCTACCATCAGTGTTATATCCCAGTGACACAGTAGCTTGAGTCAAGATTGTATCCCTTCATTGCTATTTCTGTGAAGACAAAGCTAGAATTGATATTGGTGAGCCCCTGTCTGAAACTGAGAGAGAAGGGATATATGTATTTATTGAAGAAATTTCTAGGAATAAACAGACTTAAAATAGTTTAAACTCAATCAAAATATGTGAACATTCATGTACATGATTATAACAAGATCAAGTTCATATAAGAGAAAACATGGTATAAAATAAAGATATTCATATAGTCATTCACAAATATTTATAAAGACCCTATTATTTTCTATCAGCATGCTGGGAGCTAGAGATACTGATGAGTTTGAAGCAAACATGTCCCTGTCCTATGGAGCTAACAATCTAGGAGAAGACACAGAAGAAGAAAGATGTCACTCAGGGAATTACTGGTCATTTCATTTTTGTCACCTGTTCTTTAATTTCTTTAATACTCTTGTCCTGAAAGTCTCTTTCATCTCTGAGGTTAAATAACAACCTGTTAATACAATGTTTAAGTAAGTTTGGGAGAAATGATGAATGATCTTTATTATTCCCCAAATTACACAATTTCTGAGAAATTTTAAGAGTAGCTGTCATACAGGTTCAAGACTATAAACTGTACTCCATATGGCAGCAATAGAACTTTTTACCCCCTTTATCTCTAAGTTCAGAAACATAACAGTAAAAAATAAAAGTTCAAAACTTAAGCTTCCACATACCTTGAGGGGGTCTTATTCCACCTGCTACAGGAAACATGAAGCTGAAAACAGAACAAAAATACATCAGGATTGGGGAGAGGATTAAAGATTGTGGCATGAGAGGTGAGACAGAGGCTTCCTCCTAAAACCATATATATACAAAAATATAATTAATACAACTAATCCTGAAAGAGCAACAGGGAAGAGGACTGTGCCAAACTGCACAAACCTGGAGAAAAGAATAAACCTCATGGAACAGGGAAATGTACCAAAGCTATGGCCCAGCGGGACCCAGGCCCTTCCCCCACCCCAGCTCACTGGCAGGAGGAAGAGAAACAGAGTGGGGAGGGAGCAGAGGCCTGGGACTGCAGAATACAAAACTCTGGAGATCTGCTCTGGGAGCACAAACCTACATTTCATGGAGCTTTCATGGTACTCTCGTGATTAGGGGGTTAGAAAGCTAAAACAGGCAGAACACCTGGAGAGACTGAGATTCCAGCCAACTGTGGAAAGCAGGAATCCATATCCAGCTGCACTGGGACAAAAGAAGGGTGGGCAGTCTGAGAGGCTTCCTAACAACAAGAGGGCTGGTAAAGGGGCAAGGATTGCACAGAGTTCACTGCTCAGGAGAAAGGACAGGTAGACAAAATCGTCTGGGTGCACTCTGCCCAGCAGGTTGGGAACTTTCACAATTTTCAGGTGCTCCAGCTCCCTGGCTGGCTACACAGCAACAAGGACCCCCTCTGTGATATGCAGCCTGCTGTGCTTTTCTCGCAGCCAGACAGCACATGGCTCGCAAACAGGCAAACCCTACCATGGCGTTAGACCAGCCAGAGGGAAGCCCCATCTACAGCAACTACAAACGCAAAGCATAGAGGCTTATACCTGTGTGCTTGGCCACTGGTTCTGGCAGTGGAGACAGGCATAGCAGCCAGGAAGCAGGAAACAGCTCTTTCCTCTCCCCAGGCACCAATATCAATCCCCTGCAACCCCCAAGGTTGCTTCAGGGGCAGAGCAGCTCCAGAGAGTAGAGCTTCTGGGCACTACAGGGTGCCATATACAAATATTAAATGCCAAAGGAACCTGGTTCAAAGTAAAATTATGAATACAACACATGAGAAAGATTGAAATGAAATCGACCTCATGAATTTTCCTGAAAGGGGTTTTAAAATAAAAATCATTAATATGCTCATGGAGGTACAGAAAAATATTCAAGAACTCAGGAATGAATTCTGGTCAGAGATCCAATCATTATGAAACACAGCATCATAAATGAAACATAAAATGGAAAGTTTTAAAAGCAGATTAGATATGGTGGAGACGATAAATGAAATAGAAATTAGAGAAGAGGAATACAAAGAAGCTGAGGCACAGAGAGAAAAAAGGAACTCTAAGAATGAAAGAATATTGAGAGAACCGTGTGATCAATCCAAATGGAACGATATTCGCATTATAGGGGTACCAGAAGAAGAAGAAGAGAGAAAAAAGGATAGAAAGTGTCTTTGAGGACGTAATTGCTGAAAACTTCCCCAATCTGAGGAAGGAGATAGTCTCTCAGGCCATGGCGAACTACAGATCTCCCAACACAAGTAACCCAAGGAAGAGAACACCAAGACATAAAGTAATTAAAATGGCAAAGATCAAAGATAAGGACAGACTATTGAAAGCAGCCAGAGAGAGAAATAAGATCGCATATAAAGGAAAGCCCATCAGGCTATCATCAGACTTCTCAGCAGAAACCTTACAGGCCAGAAGGGAGAGGCATGATGTAATTAATGCAATGAAGCAGAAGGGCCTCAAATGAAGAATACTTTATTGGGCAAGATTATCATTTTAATTTGAAGGAGGGATTAAACAATTTCCAGATAAGCAAAAGCTAAGAGAATTTACTCCACACAAACCATCTCTGCAGGGTATTTTGGAGGGACTGCTATAGATGGAAGTATTCCTAAGGTTTAATAGCTGTCACCAGAGGTAATAAAACAACAGTAAAGAAAGTAGAACAGTTAATTACTAAGTGAATGCAAAATTAAATCAACTATCCCCAAAGTCAATCAAGGAATAGACAAAGAGTACAGAATATGATACCTAATATATAAAGAATGGAGGAGGAAGAAAAAGGAGGAGAAAAAAAGAACCTTTAGATTGTGTTTGTAATAGTATATTAACTGAGTTAAGTTAGACTCTTAGATAGTAAGGAAGTTATCCTTGAACCTTTGGTAACCAAGAATCTAAAGCCTGCAATGGCAATAAGTACGCACCTATCAATAATCACCCTAAATGTAAATGGTTTGAATTCACCAATCAAAAGACACAGAGTCATTGAATGGATAAAAAAGCAAGACCCATCTATATGCTGCCTACAAGACACTCACTTTAAACCCAAAGACATGCACAGACAAAAAGTGAAGGGATGGAAAAAGATATTTCATGCAACTAATAGGGAGAAAAAAGCAGGAGTTGCAGTACTTGTATCAGACAAAATAGACTTCAAAACAAAGAAAGTCACAAGAGACAAAGAAGGACATTACATAATGATAAAGGGATCAATCCAACAAGCAGATATAACTATTATAAATAACTATGAACCCAACAAATTAGCACCTACATATGTGAAACAAATACTAACAGAATTAAAAGGGGAAATAGAATGCAATACATTCTATCCAAAAGCAGCAGAATACACATTCTACTCAAGTGCACATGGAACATTTTCAAGAACAGATCATATACTAGGTCACAAAAAGAGCCTCGGTAAATTCAAAAAAATTGAAATTGTACCAACCAGTTCCTCAGACCACAAAGGTATGAAACTAGAAATAAATTATGCAAAGAAAATGAAAAATCCCACAAACACATGGGGGCATCACAACATACTCCTTAAATAACCAATGGATCAATGACCAAATAAAAAACAGAGATCAAGCAATATATGGAGACAAATGACAACAATAATTCAACACCGCAACATCTGTGGGACACAGCGAAGGCCATGCTAAGAGGAAAGTACATTGCAATACAGGCCTACCTCAGGAAAGAAGAACAATCCTATATGAACACTCTAAACTCACAAAAAACGAAACCAAGAAAGGAACAAATGAGGCCCAAAGTCATTAGAAGGAGGGACATAATAAAGATTAGAGCAGAAATAAATAAAATTGAGAAGAATGAAACAATAGAAAGAATCAATGAAAGCAAGAGCTGGTTCTTCGAGAAAATGAACTAGATAAACCCCTAGCCAGACTTATCAAGAAAAAAAGAGTCTACACACATAAACAGAATCAGAAATGAGAAAGGAAAAACAACTATTTACACCACAGAAATACAAAGAATTATTAGAGAATACAATGAAAAATTATATGACAACAAACTGGATAACGCAGAAGAAATGGACAACTTTCTAGCAAAATGCAACCTTCCAAGGCTGATCCAGAAGGAAACAGAAAATCTGAACAGACCAATTACCAGCAACGAAATTGAACTGGTAATCAAAAAATTATCTAAGAATAAAACTACTGGACCAGATGGCTTCATCGCTGAATTTTATGAAACATTTAGTGAACACCTAATACCCATTCTCCTTAAAGTTTTCCAAAAAGTAGAAGAGGAGGGAATACTTTCAAACTCATTCTGTGAGGCCAGCATCACTCTAATACCAAAACCAGGCAAAGACACCACAAAAAAAGAAAATTATAGACCAATATCCCTGATGAACATAGATGCAAAAATACTCAACAAAATATTAGCAAACCAAATTCAAAAATACATCAAAAAGATCATCCAACATGATCAAGTAGAACTTATTCCAGGGATGCATGGATGGTACAACATACAAAAATCCATCAACATCATCCACCAAATCAACAAAACGAAGGACAAAAACCACACAGTCATCCCCATAGATGCTGAAAAAGTATTTGACAAAATTCAATCCATTCATGATAAAAATTCTCAACAAAATGGGTATAGAGGGCAAGTACCTCAACACAATAAAGGCCACATATGACAAACCCACAGCCAACATCATACTTAACAGTAAGAAGCTGAAAGCTTTTCCTTTAAGATTAGGAACAAGACAAGGATGCCCATTCTCCCCATTTCTATTCAACATAGTACTGGAGGTCCTAGCGACAGCAATCAGACAACACAAAGGACTAAAAGGCATTCATATTGGCAAGGAAGAAGTTAAACTCTCCCTGTTTGCAGATGACATGATATTGTACATAAAAAACCCTAAAGAATCCACTCCAAAACTACGAGATCTAATATCTGAATTCAGCAAAGTTGCAGGATACAAAATGAATATGCAGACCTCTGTGGCATACTAACAATGAACTAGCAGAAAGAGAAATCAGAAAAACAATTCCATTCACAGTTGCATCAAAAAGAATAAAATACCTAGGAATAAACCTAACGAAGGAAGTGAAAGACCTATACTCTGAAAACTGCAAAACACTCATGAGATAAATTAAAGAAGATACCTATAAATGGAAACGCATTGCATGCTCATGACAGGAAGAATTAATATTGTCAAAATCACCATCCTGCCTAAAGCAATCTACAGATTCAATGCAATTCCTATTAAAATTCCAACAGCATTCTTCAATGAACTAGAGAAAATAGTTCTAAAATTCATATGGAACCACAAAAGACCCCGAAACCCAAAGCAATCTTGAGAAAGAATAAAGCTGGAGGGGATTATGCTCCCCAACTTCAAGCTCTACTACAAAGCCACAGTAATCAAGACAATTTGGTGCTGGCACAAGAACAGACTCTCTAGTCTCTCAACAGACTAGAGAGCCCTGATATAAACCCAACCATATATGGTCAATTATTATACAATAAAGGAGTCATGGACATACAATGGGGAAATGACAGTCTCTTCAACAGCTGGTGTTGGCAAAACTGGACAGCTACATGCAAGAGAATGAAACTGGATTATTGTTTAACCTCAAACACAAAAGTAAACTCAAAATGGATCAAAGACCAGAATGTAAGTCATGAAACCATAAAACTCTTAGAAGACAACGTAGGCAAAAATCTCCTGATACAAGCATGAGCA